GGTATACGATCAGTCGAGAACCCCATTGAGCTCTACCAAAGCACCATGTTTCCGAGGCAAACATTTCTGATGCCGTCCACGTAGATGGCCACTATGAAGATTTTCTTATGAAATGAAATGCGCTCTTCAATTCTAAGTTGGGAGCACACGCTTTGAGCTGAGCAAAGTGTGATTAAATCCATTTGAGTCTGGAGACAAAATGTTCTTTTTCTATTGTCCCACCCCCTCTGTAATGGAGGCCTGACCATTAGAGAACTGAAAAACTCATGAATGGAAAAGATGAACAGGAATAAGTCAGTCTCTTGAAGGTTTTTGTTAAACGGCACATTTACAACATCTTCCATTATCGGCCCGGTACTACATATGTTAGCCGCTTTGATTGCTTGTATTTGTTGAAGCATTTCCAAACATTTTTGCTACGAATGCTTGCATATACAGTCAAATTCGTTATGCTAATCATGCGACGCTAGAATTTCATTGTGCCGTTCGTTCGCAACAAACGATGCGGATGAATTCATATCAGCAAATGGAATTTTGGAGTGAGAAGTGTTGAATTTTTTCTGACAATCTAGTGTCCCTTCGAAGCTGTCTTCTACGAAAATGGTGATGAGTGTTCTTTCCAACAAGCAGGCTGTCAGCGGACGAAAGGGCTTATCTATATTTCAGTGAACAAAGTATGAAGTGTGATCAGGAAAACAGCATGGGGAGTGAATGGTCGCTAAAATTGAAGGGAAGAAATTGTAATTAGAATTAAACCAGAAAACTACTGATCGCTTCAAAAAAAGCGTACTTATCAATTATGATTTTCAATCTAACCGTAAGGTAATAACGCTGGACATCGTATTCTACATCTGATTTTGTAATACTAATTTGAAACAATTTCGTTGCTCACTGGCTAGACCAAAAGCAATAATGTTTCCAAACTTTCGACTGATACTGTATCCAAACACCCCTCGCCGCCTCTCCCTAAACGACTTTCGCTTGTAGATAGATTGGAAGTCTGGCACCCACATAGTGAGGTCCAACAGTCGATGGCCCATCGACTGTTGAAAGTGAGGTTTGTAAGTCGCTTGGGAGTCGTACTCAAGGTGAAGTGGGACGCCTTTGCCTACACGATCCCTTTCCACCTTTTTGAAAAGGTCTCCATCCGACCACACTAGACTCTTATTGTGGTTTCTAAGTAGTCCAACCTCCAAGCTGCCTTCCTTCTCAGAAAATCGAAGCTGAGCCGAAGATAGAGAAGGAAGGGAAAAGGGGTGTGTATGACGGGTGAAAACCACAAAAATTACGAATTTTCTCCAAATTCCTAATGAAATTCTAAAGAAATTCCTCATGTACGAAAAAAAAACTTGCCTCCCTCTTCAAATCATCAAAAACGAATCACTCACTTTACGAATATCCCCTTTCACAGTCATATGCGAAAGCTCTCGTTGGCAATTCTCTAGCAGCATCAGTTGAATGGAGCTCAGAACTCCTCTTTCTATAGCCTCTTTCTACTTTTCTATGCCTCTTTCTCGTTTTCTATAGCCTCTTTCTACAACAGCTCGCTTTTTTGCTTCTCCATGAAATTAGCTTTTGATCTTTTATTTTTAGCCTTGATCACAACAAAGGGTGTCAGCGACTGTTTTCTAGTGAGCAACGACATGTTTTTCTTTTCAGGAATTTTGAGCACAAAAAGTATCACTTTCAGGTATATTTCAAGGCAATACAATGGAAGAAATTCAAATGGCTCGCAATTGACAATATACAATTGAATCCTTGTCCACGATCATCTACAACGACTCCGAAAACACAATGAAAATCACAAATAGAATTATTTGCCTACTACTATCTCATAGCATTAGGTAACGTATTTTAATAACTAAATATTAATAAATGTTGATGCCATGCAAAGGCTGTGAGAATCATGCATCTAGGCATCTAGGACGAATGGTATTGAAGTGACCTCAGAAAACGTTGGACAATCAAAGACGATTGAGGCTCACACAGCTTTTAAGCAGAAGCGGGAAAGGTCTTGAACCTTCGCGACTGAATCACTTGGAACGTGCAATTCTTCAAATCCACAAAAGGCAATCCCGACAAAATAGCCAAAACTGAGTACGGAACCCCGATAGGAACTTGACAGGAATTAGAAATGAAAACGGCCTCGACAGCGCGTCAACGAAAGCATGTTGCGAAAGCCGCAGTTTCGACACAGTCGTCCGGGTGCTTCATGCTGATCAGTCTGAATAGCGCCGAGAAAACCCTCAAAAGATGAGTGATGTTTGCCTCGATTGGATGTGAGGGATTAAATAGCCTGCAACGGGCGCAGAGGTGCGAATGTCAACCAAACATTGTCGACAAGAACGATATCTCACCAAGTTAGATTGGTTACTGTAATCCACGGTGGTCTATTTGTTATTCTGTCAGTGTTCCAATTCAACTGCGCCCCATGTTGAGCATGCTCAACATGGGGCGCAGTTGAATTGGAACACTGACAGAAGGGTCCTCTAAAGCGCTCAGCCAAGTGCAACTTGCTCACTCTGCGGCTACTCTGGGGATAAGAAAGATTCGCCCAATGACACGTAACGTGGATTACGACGTAGTGGCTAATTCAAATGCACGCGGGTTAGTGGAGCAGTGGAGCAGGCAAGTTCGCACAACTCGTCCAGCCCGCCCTTCCTTATTTCAAGGGAATCCTTGTTTAGGCTTCATCGACGGTTTTCTTTGCATCTTGCTTATTTTTAGTCAACTCGGCATCCACAACTCCACTATCGATCGCACTTAAAATGCCTCAATTTACCATCGTGTCGGCATACTCAAAACTGGTTCCACGAAAATACAACTTTCCCCATTCATCTTCCAAACAATCAACAAGAAAACGAAACCTCCTCACTAAAGGATGATCGAGCCAACCTCCAATAAAATCTTCATCCCAACACCACAAAAAGCAAAATATAGACAAATACAAACTAAATTCTTATTAAGAAATGTGTGACAAATCAACATTGAAGTCGTAACCGGAAATGTCAACCAGCAGCACTCAGTCAACAGAAACTAGTATAAAATATCATACAGCTACAAACAACTTTGCAACAACGATATAAAAGTTTTAAAAATCAGTGACATCGCATTCAAGAGGTGTCGTCTCAACAAGCGGAATGGGCTAGCTGGAAACCCCCCAAGTAGAAACAGTAATCAGATTCAGAAATCACAGAACAACAACATGCACGCAAAGAGCGTGGTCGTATACCCGTCATCGCTTTCGATTACAATGCGCTACGGCTAGTCTTGCACACGTAAAGGAATTGTATACGGGTAAGTATGATGATTTTGAGATTGACATACATCACACACTTCGCATCTAACCATCTATGAGAGAACTGTGGCGAGAGATCACTGAAAACATCAAGATGTGATGTAGAACTACTTGACCAAAACCAGTTTACAGTTTTGGTGAAATTTTCCCAATGTTTTGACAATTATAACCTGCTTCCAACCAATGATTCTAGACAATTACGACCGATTGCTGCTTTATAAACAGTTTCTGCCTTCTCGCGCGTAAGACAAATGATACTTCATTCGTGGTTGCTAACTTTCAGATCTTCCTAATTAATAACCATGAATCTTCCACGAAAATAGTTTTCTCTTCCACGACTACTTTCATTTCTCACACTGGCGACATTTAAGAGGTGAAAATGAACGACGGTGGAAAAATGAAACATAGACCCAGAAACCGAAACAAATTTTTTTGAGTAAAATTGTGAATAAGTATGGATTAAAGGACCAGCCATCTAACAAAGGGACAGGCAATGGCATGTGCACGCGACGTACCCGCTCAACGACTGACGACTTCCCAGTCCGACTCGTCACTCTTCATTGTGCCGCTTCTCGATGAAGCTATCTCTTTTCCCTCTTCTGGTTGGCCGAGACACTTGCGTAGGGCCTGGATTTGCTAAAACGACGAAAGACGCAGATTCATAAGAAGAAAGAAATAGGAAAATCCCCAACAGGTCAGCCAAACGGTGCATAAGGTTTCCCAGATTTTCGTGACATACACACAGAGCTCTTTATAGAAAGTTCACAAGGTCAAACGCTTCACAGGAAGTACCAGGCAACTACCCCAACCGATTGTTTGCCGAAACCACATAGTTTCTCTTATACGCGCAAGAAATTGAACACTTTCTATATAGGTTATGCTCATGGCTACTTATTGGACAGATTCACAACCATTTATGAAAGGAATCAATGCTACTTCACCGATGCACATACAAAACACTTTTCATCGATGCTAGAACAAATGAAATTTTTAAAAATTTGCGCCACTCCGTGTACTATACCTTGTTTAAGCTAAAAAAAAAGACCCAAAAGGGTTGTAATTTCGTACATGGTCCCTACATTTATATGAATTTCTGGAACAAATTAGGGTTTGCTGGAAGCTCGTTTTTCTTCTGAAAGCTTCTAAAGAGAGTGTGAAAAGATATTCAGCGTTTTTAAAAACATTAATATTAGCCTGAAGGTTGTCAGGAAAGGCCGAGAGAGCAGCTACTAATCGTAGGATCAGCTGCTTGTGTACTTCTAGGATGTTTTTGATGACCAAGCAAAAACGTTTCGATGTCGTATAAATATGAATAATACGAAAAGAAGATTGTTACATAATGTAGAAAGTCAATGTAGAGTTCCAAAAGAAATGCAAGTCTCCTACCTAGACCGACTTATATCGATAGAAAGGGGGTGAACAAGGAACCAGCACAGCACTCTTCAATTTCCCTTACCACCAGTAATCGCGAGAACACCACACAATTGCCTGACCCCTACTACTGTGATCATTTTGTACTGAAGTAAAACGACACTTTATCGCATCAACATCTCTGCGCCGAGTGTCACTATTTACGGGATTACTCAATACACCGTTCAGCCTGGTTCTCAAGCAGCACTACCCTGTTATGCTAGGCGAAGAACAGCAGAATAGTGAGGAAAGATGTTAAGTAACGAGGAAAAAAGGCAAGGTGCGGTCAAAGTCGAACTTGTGGTGAAAATGCCAAGAATAGGCAAAATCAAAGTTTAAAGTGTTCTGTAATTTTCCTTTAATAGCCACATTGGATTACCCATAACCCGCACAAAACCCCACATTAGTTCCAAACATGCCACTTTCAGATCTATCATACACGTTAGCCAAAATTTGACCGGAACTGCCTTCAAACAACCCAAAGCATGCAAAAGGAATGTGAATGTGGAAAACTAATACAGCGCAGAAATAAAAATACCTGGATATTGCTCTCCATCAGGTACGCCTGAAATCTTACAACGACAATCATGCAATCAACAAACCTTTTTAAGAAACTCGCACTCCTTTAGCTCTTTTCTGAGACGATTAGCGGAAGCTATGACACCATTCTGAACAAATAACAAGGAGATACGTGCAAAGCGAACTAAAACGGACAAGGTAGTGAAAGAGGTGTTATAGGTAAAGCGTGAAAAAGCATGCAGTACACAAGAACTAGCACAAGTCACCAACTTCCACTGGTTTGAACTGACATACAAATTACAACAAAAGCACAAAGGGAAGCATAGTGCACGACAGAACTTCTACAAAGCGGTTAGTGGCACGGACTGCGCGCGGATTTCTGAATCTGCTCCTCCATTCACAATATGGACAGGAAAGAAAAAAACCTAAGAGACCCAGATGAACAATCTTCACTTTCTCTCCAACTTTTCCCTTACAAATATTCCAATCGAAGCGTTGAATATATATGCCCCAAAGCAGTAAGAAATTTAATTACCCCCCCCCCCCAATATGAATCCTGAGTACCAGCCACTCACTACCATATTCGCAGCCTTGAATCAACTATTTACTAGAATAAAATTCTATTAAACTATCATATCTAACACCGAAATCTCCATATCTTGCATTTATAGCATTAATCGAAAGCAGCACTTATTTAAAAAAAATGCTTCACACAAAGATCAAATGCCTTACAGCTTTGTCTAGTTCACTCTCCAGTTGAGCAACTTTGTCCTTGTAAAACGACTCTCGCTCATTGACACCCATCTCAATCTGCGCCAGGAGCAATGACTAAATAGAAAAATTAGAATACTAAGAAATTTACTTCAATTTACCAAAAACACGACAGTATGACTAACCAGACTATGAAAAGCACTTCTGTAGTTCTCCAACTCAGCTTGTGTACCGCTATTTGAGGACTGAAAGCATGCATTGAACTTGTATGACGATTTTCACAACAAAAATTAAGTCTCCAAGGTCTGAACTTATTTTTGAAATTGAGCTTGTAACAAGACGATCCAAGGACTAAATTCGAGTAAAATACAGTACTAACACTTGTTTCGTTCTCCTCGTGGCTAATCCTAGCTTCACTGAGCGCGGTCTTGAGAGACTTTGCTAGCCCTTTAACGTAGTCGACATAACTCTGAATGCTTCTAATTATGTCTTGAAGATAACAAAAATTCAAAAGGAAACAAAAAAAACACTATCATCCACATCGGCGACTAACCTAAAGGCAAATAAGGCTTTTACAATGTAAAACCTAAAATTTTGAAAAACGCATAACCACTCCGCGATCTTATCATTCGTTGATATCCACAAGCTTCAATAGGATGCAACAATCTTCGCTCTAAGCTACTGCTCGAGCAAAAGATCTTCATCCCCCTAAAACACGGCACGATTAAGAAAAACTCTCGTAAAATGATCGACAGCCGGTAAATGAAAAAAACGTCGAACCAAACGCGCCACTTTTCAGGCCGTCGCTGTGTCATCGCTTACGTGGTCACCTCGCTGCATTCTTAAGTCATGTAAATCAGTTCCACGCAAGTTTGGTTTTTCTTAAGTACCCGAGCAAATTTTTAGAGGAAAAAGTGTGGATCAAGTGGCTTTGACACGCACGCCAAAGGCCCGAGGTCATCGTATTCCCCAGTATTTGCATTTTCGAACTAGATGAAATAAATGCCTTTCGACCAGGATTATAATTCGAGCGGAACACGGATCATGACTCACTCCGGGAGGAGCGATCGAATCTGAGCCCTCACCTCCCAATGCATTAGCTAAGCCTTCTCCAAGCAAGAATTCCAGGCGAATGGTGTGAATTTTCACAACGGTTGGTAAGGGAGGCATAATGTAACAACTTAGTGCACATAATAAATGCATTCTCAAAATCACCTTATTAGGGCTAGGTTTTGCAGCAGAATCCGACGAAATCCTCTCACGAAGTTGCTTTTCCAAATTCGCAACATCGTCCAGTATTTTAAAATTGCGTTTACGAAGCTCCTAAACAGAAAAAAAAGATGAAAGTACATTACACAAGCTTGGATAACTCGATTGCATACTTCATCTAAGGATAGACACACCTCATTTTTCTGCTGCAATCGATTGTTCTCAGCACGAAGGCTTACAACCTCTTCATCGTTTTCGTTCGTACTCTTGACATTTGCAGCGTCAACAGGCTGAGACCTCTTCAATACCACAATCTGTAAATCGGTAATCAGGCCTTCAGCAGGAGCGTTCATTTGATGCTTCGGTACTGTTACCCTTCACTGCTCCACTTTTCGAAGACTCGGCTAAATTTTTTCCGAAATTAGATGAGGATAGATTTTGCTAACCCTTGCGTGGATACTAGCTTAAAAATACAAATATCCCATCAGCTTCAAGCAAACGTGCGTGGCAACCGCGCCAAAACTTATCAAATACATTTTGGGCTTCCAAATTCGCCAGTACTCCAAATTTGTCCACTACTGCATTTCGAACTCGGAAACACATGTCTTATTAAGTGCGAAATCGTCAAATGTGCTGCCGCCAGGCACATTCCAGTAGATCGACGGCGATATTCGTGATCTTCATAACAAAATGCCAGCGATGGTGAATTTCTAGCCGAATCTAGTCCCGGGGGTAATGTTCGAGAAAAACTACCACACTTTGAAATATGAGCAAGAAAAGGAACAGTGGTGCCAATCTTATAGATCAATTGATCTCACAAGGAGAAAAAAAGGAAATTCAATAAATGAAATCGTACCTCCTCATTTGCCTGCTCACGAGCAGCAGCCAGTTCGGCAAGCCTTGAAAACAAGACGTTTATCAAAATCAGCCGATACGGTGGATAAAGTAATGTAACGTTTGAAGTGCAAACAAAACTTACGCGTCAGACTGTGCCTTTTTCGCGTCAGTCAATTTATCTTCTAATTCGGCCAACTTTTTCCGAAGTTCAGCATTCTCAACTTCCAACTCAGCACTGGAAAATGAATAAAATAGCAGAGGAGAGCAAAAGGACACTCCGCTGAACAAGGGATTACCTCCTCCCGTTCCCTTGGACTACCAAAACCTGTTTTTCAGTCTCTGCTGCCGCTAGACGAGCACTTTTTTCGGCTAGTTCTGCTTCCTTGGCGAGCAGTTTCTGCTCAAGTTCATCTTGTTCTTTCTTGCTGAAATCCACACAATCTAAGCATACACCATTCTTGATTGAATTTGCAATGCACGAAAAAA